GATCAAGGAAGCGTGGATCAGCGACGGGTCCCGCTTCCAGGGAAAAGCGCGGATTTCCGCCGCCGAGCGAGGCAACACCGACCGCAGTTTGGGGAGAGCACCTCCCACGATCCACGGATTTGGCGACCGCGCGCCAGATCCATGGATCGCTAACCCATGTTTGTGCGCCCCCGATGCTCGAAGGAGAAAAGACCACACAAACATTAACTTTTGGCGTTCCGCGCGGAGTTCTTGGACCCGCAATGGTCCCCCTCCCCTGGCGGCGCCTCTGGCGCCGCGCCTGGCGCGCTTCGCGCGCCGTCTGGCACGGATGCAAGAAACCCCCGCGGACAGTTAAAAGTGTATGTTTATGTGGTTTTGTTGTTCTTCTATCTGCGGTGTTCTGCCACCCGCAATCCCGCTGAGGCACCTCGCGGAAACGCCCGGTGCGAACGAAAGGCGACACCCGGATCCTAAGTCTTCTGTGCCTCCCGAATGGGATCCGAACACATGGGGTCGGAGGATCGGGCCGCATCGCCGATGCCTCGAGGATGCGGCTCGATGTGGATCCCGACGCACCGACGTCGCCGATGCATCGCCGACGTCGACGAAGCAGCGCCGATGCCTCGGCGATGCGACGCGATCCTCCGACCCCATGTGCTCAGACCCCATGGGAAGCCTCAGGGGTTACGGCGCCTCACACCCCGTACGGTAGGTTTTTGTCGTGTCGACCGGCGGCGACCCCGCCAGCGGCGTTCAACGTTGAACGCCGCGGGCGACCCAGAATCGGTCGATGTGGAACGATTCGGACGTGTCGGAAACGGCCGATCGTTCAAGGCTGAACCATCCCCGCGGTGTCCGAAACCAGCGCCGAAGTCGGCACGACACGAACCTGACGCACCGCCCGCCGTCCGCTCCTGGCAGGGAGGCGCGCTGCCCAGCACCCCCGCGAGCTCGCGAGTGTTTGGCCCCGGCGACCGGCGCGCCTCGCACCCTCTCCCCCCCCGTGGGAGGCGCGCGCGGAGGCGCGGTGCCTAGCCTCCTTCTTGCTGGCGAGGTGCTGCGCATCCTGCCGGCTGGCGCAGCTCCCCCCCAACCTGCATGCGGAATGGCGGGTCTGTCGGCCAGCGCTCCTTGTATCCGCCCTCAACCACTTTCCTGCATCCTCCCCAGATCACGGGTGGTAGTGGGAGGGGAGGGACCCGGTAGCATTACGATTAAAGACGCGTTTCCCCTCCCCCAGTCTGCATGCGAGACTGCTGATTCGGAGAGCTGTACGCCCCAAGCCCCCTTCGGGGGTAACCCCAGCGCCTGCGCCGCGGCCTTGTGCGCATTGACTTCGCATTCCGCAGCGACAACTACGACCCACTCGATTCCTTGCCCCCTCCTCCTCCTCCTCCTCTTCCTCCTCGTCCTCCTGCTTCTCCTCCTCCTCCTCCTCCTCCTCCTCGTCATTCTCGTCCGCCTCCTCCTCCTCCTCCTCCTCCTCCTCCTCCTCCTCCGCCTCCTCCTCCTCCTCCTCCCAGTCCCTATTCTCTTTCCTCCTGCTCCTCCTCCTCCTCCTCCTCCTCCTCCTGCTCCTCCTCCTCCTCCTCCTCCTCCTCCTCCTGCTCCTCCTCCTTCTCCTCCTGCTCCTCCTCTTCTTCCTCCTCCGCCTCCTCCTCGTCCTCCTCCTCCTCATCCCATGTGTTTTATCATTATCCTCCTCTCCTTCTCCTCCTCCTCCTCCTCCTGCTTCCCACCCATCCCTTCTCTGTCCTCCTCCTAAACCTCCATGCCTCCCTCTCGGCTGTCGCTTCCCATGGAGTGGCACCCGCCAGGCAAACTTAGCTTGACTCGTGCTTTCGAGGAGGAGAACCGAACCGAACCCTGGCTCCCTCCCTTCTTTCTCCTCCCACTCATCCTCGCCCCCTCCACCTCCCACTCCTCTTTCCCGTCCCTCTCCACGCGGACCCTGCCACTCGGGCCCTGGATGGAGCTGCTTATGGGGCCATAGCGCGTACGAGGGGTGGGCCGAATCAGATGCGGGTACGCCATGCGGACCCTGCCGCTGGGGCTTGGGGTGGAGCTCCCTATGGGTCAACCGCACGTGTGAGGGGTGTGTGCCGAATCATATGCGGGCACGCCATGCGGACCCGGTCGCTGGGGCCTTCGGTGGAGATCCCAATGGGTCCGCGATACGTGCAAGGTGCGTGCTGAATCGGATGCGGGTACGCCATGCGGACCCTGCCGCTTGGACCTTCGGTGGACGTTCTTTCAGGGCCACGGAACGTATGACGGGTGTGCCGAATCGGGTGCAGGTGAGCCATGCGGACCCTGCCGCTGGGGCCTTCGGTGGGGCTCCCAGTGGGGCCACGAAACGTGTGAGAGCTGTACTGAATCGGATGCAGGTACGCCATGCCGCTGGGATCTTCGGTAAGGCTATCTATGGGGCCACGAAACGTGTGAGAGGTGTGCTGAATCGGGTGCGGGTGCGCCATGCGGACCCTGCCGCTGTTGCCTTCGGTGGAGCTCCCTGGGGTCACGAGACGTGTCCTTCGTGTTCAGAATCGGATGCAGGTGCGGCATGCGGACCCTGCTGTCGGGGGTTTCAGTGGATCTCCCTACGGGGCCACGAGACGTGTGAGAGATTTGCTGAATCGGATACGCGTATGAAATGCGGACCCTGCCGCTGATGCCTTCGGTGAAGCTCCATTCGGGGCCACGAAACGTGTGAGGGGTGCGCCGAATCGGGTTCGGGTGCGTCATGCAGACCCTGCCGGTGGGGCCTTCGGAGGAGCTCCCTATGGGGCCTGCTACTGGGTCCTTCGGTGGAGCTCCCTTTGGGGCCACGAAACGTGTGAGTGGTGTGACGAACCGTGTGCGGGTACGTCATGGTGCCCCTGCCGCCGGGGCCTTCAATGGGGCTCCATATGCAGCCACAAATCGTGTGAGGGGTGTTCCGAATCGGGTGCGGATACGCCATGCGGACCCTGTCGCTGTTGCAATGCGGTGGAGCCCCCTTATGGGGTCACGGGACGTGCCGTTTGCGTGCCGCATCGTATGCGGGTGCGCCATGCGGACTCTGCCTCTGGGACACTCGGTGGGGCTACCTATGGGGACCTATGGGGCCACGAAACGTGTGAGGGGTGTGCTGGGTCGGGTGCGGGTACGCCATGCGGACCCTGCCGCCGCTGCCATCGGTGTAGCGTCCTGTGGGGCCACGAAACGTGTGAGAGGTGTGCAAAATTGAGTGCGGATGCGGACCCTGCCGCCTTCGGTGGAGCTCCCAACGGGGCCACGAAACGTGTGAGAGGAGTGCCGGATCGGATGATCGGATGCGGGTGAGCCATGCGGACCTTGCCGCTGGGGCCTTCGGTGGAGCTCCAATGGGGCCACGAAGCGTGAAAGCGGTGTGCTGAATCGGGTGCGGGTACGCCATGCAGGGCCCTGCCGCTAGGGCTTTCGGTGGGGTTATCTATGAGGCTACGAGACGTGTCAGCAATGTGCCGTACAAGGTGCGGGCACGCCATGCGGAGCCTGCCCGTGGGGCCTTCGGAGGAGCTCCCTATGGGGCCACGAAACGTGTGAGAGGTGTGCTGAATCGGGTGCGGGCATGCCATGCGGACCCTGCCGCTGGGGCTTCCAGCGGAGCTCCATATGGGGCCATGGCACGTGTGAGGGGTGTTTGCGGAATTGGATGCGGGCACGCCATGCGGACCCGGTCGTTGGGGCCTTCGGAGGAGCTCCCTACGAGGCCACGAAGCGTGCGAGGGCTTTGCTGAACCGGATGCGGGTACGCCATGCAGACCCTGCCGCTGGGGCTTTCGGTGGACGGTGGAGTTCCTGATGGGGCCACGGAGCGCGTGAGGGGTGTGCTGAATCGGATGCGGGTACGCCCTGCGGACCCTGCCGCTGGGGCCTTCGACAGAGTTCCTTAGGGGACCACGGAATGTGTGAGGGCTGAGCCGAGTCGGGTGCGGGTACGCCATGCGGACCCTGCCCTTCGGCAGGGTTACGTATGGGGCCGCGAGACGTGTCAGCGGTGTGCCGTACAAGGTGCGGGTACGCCATGCGGGCCTCGCCGCTGGGGCCTTCGGCGGCCTTCGGCGGAGCCCACATTGTGGGGCCACGAAGCGTAAGAGAGGCTGCGCCGAATCGGGCTCGGGTGCGCCATGCGGACCCTGCTGCTGAGGCCTTCGGTGGAGCTTCCCATGGTGCCATGGCACGTGTGAGGGGTGTGCTGAATCGGATGCGGGTACGCCGTGCGGGCACTGCCGCTGGGGCCATCGGTGGAGCTTCCCATGGGGCCTGGAAGCGTGCGAGGGGTGTACCGGACAAGGTGCGGGTACGCCATGCGGGCCCTGTTGCTTTGGCCTTCGGTGGAACCCCGTTACGGGGCCACGAATCGTGTGAGGGGTGTGCGCTAAATCGGGTGCGGGTGCGTATGATGGTGATGAGATGAGGGCATACGCAGGACAGAAGCAGGTATGGGAGGAGGGATGGGGCTGGGAGGAGGAAGGAAAGGCGATAATGCGGGGCGCTGTCTCTTCAATACGAGGACCCAACACCACAGGATGGTTGGGAAACATGAAACCAACAGGGGAGGAGGAGACAGAGGAGATCTCCAGCGGTAGCCCCACTTGGGAAATGAGAGCCGCTTGCAATTGTTGCGACCCCATTCTGAAAAAAAGCCTCAGCCCTTCCGCGAGGATGTCCCACACATGTTTCAAGTTAATGTGCACCGGGGTAGGGCAAGAGCCCCATTTCGCGAAAAGAAGCCGTCCCCCATCGATGGAGCTGGTGCAACAAGACGAATGCGCGCAGCGCCAAGGCGAGAACTCCGTGTTGAACACCGCCCCATACGGCGGGGGCGTTCGTTAAGGAAAGTGCCCAGGAGGCTTCAGACCCTGGAGGGTTCCTTATCTGATGAGGGCGGCGGCGATATCCATGGCCAATCCGCGATTGGAGTTCCACTGGCTTCCAGCCCTGGATTCCTTGTCGAAGCTCTCCTGATTCAATGCCCCCCACCGTCCGTCCGTAGCCATTTTGGCTCATGCCGTCTCCTGCCCTTCGCCCGCGCCGGTCCGCATGTCCGGGTGCGCATGTGCTGCTGGAGGACATTGGGAGCTGGCTGCGGGGGGCCGCCACCGGCAGGGGGAGTGGCCCGTGCGATGTCTTCGTCGGGAGGAGGGCTCTCGGCTAGGGGCCCCATGCGGCGCGGCGTGAGGCGAGGCGGCGCGGGCGCGTTGCCCTGGAGCGGGGCCTCTGGCGTGCGCTGGGCCGCCCCGACGGGCACCGGTGCGGCGCCGCACTTGGGGCGCTCGGCGACGAGGTGGCAAGGAGGGAACGCCTCTCTCGGCCTACCTTGGTCGCGGGGGTCATCGGAGCGCGGGCGAGGCCTGGGCAGGTGCTGGTGCGCAGCTGCGCCCAACACGCCACCAGCCTGCCCCGAGGACGGGGCGCCCCTGTCCGCATGGCGTCTTGCTGAGCGGTGGCCGCGCCTCGGGGAGCAGTTCGAGGAGCCGACCACGGTCCCCGAGGTCCCGACGGGCTTGGACGTGGTGGACCTCGAGGCGGACCTGCTCGCACGGGCGGCATTGCAGGCGCTTGACGAGGACGGCGACGACTGCGTGTTCGGCGACGGCAGGTTCGTGGAGGCGCCCGCGGCATGAGAGGGTCGTGCCAGGTTGGCCGCGATGGCGGAATGTGCAGGCGATGGGGCAGGCGATCGGTGCAACGAGTGCCTGGCCCCAGGAGTTTGGCTGGTGGACCAGCATGCCGAAGTGGAGGCCTTCGTGGAGGGCCTGGCTTCGGGCTGGCGGCTGGCGGAGCAGCGCGGGCGGCAGCAGGTCCAGGACGTCTGGGACGAGCTGAAGGAGCTGCTCGTGGACTCCCTCACCAACATCAGTGGCACCCTGCAGTTCTCGGAGCAGGTGCGGGAGGGTTCTCGCTCCTGCAGTTCGGCCCAGGAACTACGGGGCCTCATTTCTGCCTGGCGCTCACATGGCGCAGCCGCCACCCAGCGCGTGGCGAAGCTCATGGACACCGTCAAGGCCTGGGGCGGTCTCCTTCGCTCTGGCGTGACGGCGCTTTGGCCTCGGACGGCCTAGCGACGGTCGAGAGGGCCGAAGCGGGTCGGCAGTCCGAGAGCGAGCCCGTGAGCAATTGCGCAGGCGAAGCCGAGGCCGTGGCTGAGGCAGACCCGCAGCAGCGGCGCCGACGCCAGCGCGAGCAGGACGTAGACGACCTGATGAAGGAGGGCAGAGTCGAGCAGCGCACCAGCGAGAAGTGCGAGCACGACTCGGAGCGGCACGACAGGGCCGAGCAGAGCGGCAGGGAGCAGGTTGCCGCGAAGCAGGGGGAGGGCGCCCAGCTGCAGTTGTACCACGACGCGGCCTGCTCCGACGCCGCCGACGAGGAGCTGGCGAGCGGCTTCTTCAGGGCGCGGTCGGAGGCCGAGCTCGATGGGCAACGTCGTCGACATCCTTGCGGGCATGGGCCCCTCCCAGGCCGCCGACCTCGACCAGGGCTCATTGTCCAGTTCGTGACGGAAGCTTATGGGCGGAGGGACAAGTGCGAAGCCGCGGGCGCCGCGGCCACGGCCCCCACCACGCCCCTGCAGCTCCTCGGCGCCATGGCGGGCGGGACGCGCAGCGGAGCCCGAGGCGGGGGCCCCGCCGAGCCCGGCCGCACGAGGCAGTATAAGAAGGATCTGGCTCGGGGCACGGCGGGATCGAGCGGTCGAAGTCCGCGGCGACGCGCGAGGCGCGGCGGAGGCGGCGTGCCAGCGCCCCTTGAGGACCACGGCTTCCCCTCCGAGGAGGAGGCGCGCGGCCGCGGCCCGGTGGCGCGCTCCTCTCGACCGGTTGCGCACTTCAGGCGCCAAGGCCGTACATGGTAGGGAAATCTCAGGAGAAACGCCTGGCCCTCCATACTGACACATCTGGGGGCGCGTCAGGGAGGAGTTAAGTGTCTTGTAAGGAAAAGGGATGGAGGATGAGGAGGGGGGAGAGGAGGGGGAGAAGGCGGAGGAGGAGAGGAGGAGGACAAGGAGGAGGAGGATGAGGAGGAGCGAAGAGGATGATGATGCTGATGATGGTGATGATGATGATGATGATGATGATGATGATGATGATGATGATGATGGTGATGGTGATGGTGATGGTGATGGTGATGATGATGATGATGATGATGATGATGATGATGATGATGATGATGATGATGATGATGAGGCGGAGTAGGACGATGT